ACCGGTATTCACTCTGTCCTAAACGGCTTGTTGGAGCTCCTGACCCCCCTCCCTGTGAGCCCAGTGTGCTCTGATTGGTCGCGACACTAAGAGGCTCGCAGCTGCTGCGAGGAGCAGACAGGCTTCCGGGTCGGCGATACAGGAGAACAAGCGAAACTCATCCTGAGCATACATAAACACTCACAGCTGAAGTAAAAACAATAAGTGGGGCTTGATATTGAGTAAGAAAAAGGTTTATAACGCTGTGAGAATGGGTCTGCTGCGGAGAGCATTTCTCCGCCATCCCAACTCGTCTATTACCAGCGTTCAGGGAGCTCTATGCAAGTCAATGGGGACTCCCTGTTAGTTAGCCAAGGGATCCTGGTGTGTGAGGTGCTCCGCGGATTGGTCCATTTGGGCCAATCCGGTCATTTGTTGTTGATTTGGGTGTTCACACGTCACAGAACCCAGGAAGCAAACAATGGGAAATCTCCAACGAGGCGTTCTGGGGCAGCATAGACAGGTATTTTCTGTGTTAGAGTTTTACTCGCTACAGGGTGTACTTTGAGGGTTTGTGACTCTTTAGACCGTTTACATGCATAAAAACCTTCATAACACACAAGGGGACGGGTAATAACCGGAAAAGCATGACATGGGCCCTTTAAATAATGATGTTGTCATAGAAGGTTGACACGTAGAGTTTGTCAAAGGGTTGACCTACAATCTTTAAAGCAGTTTTGACTTGAAAGCGCTGTACAAACACTTTTAACTTTACTGTAAAGCACTTAGAATGTAAAAGACAGAAGAAGAATGTGTCTACTCGCCAACTCTCTTCGGTACAATTGACTCTTTTCTTTCATGCCTTCTCTCTAAATGTTGCGGTCTCTTCAGTCTTCCTCAGAGAGACACCGTCTGCCTGTAAAGTGTGTCATAACAGGTCTGTGCTAACCGGCGGTGATATGTGTTATCCACATGGCAAAGACAACAGAGTTGCACTAAAGTAAACTTCTCCCGCTGGTGAAGTGACTAATGAAGAAAAGTGATGTCAATGTGGACTGACGATGTCACACTTCTTTATGAGCTCCAATAGGGTTTGTCTGACTCTATGACATCAGGTGGTCAGTTTCTTCAGCCGACCAATAGTGTGGAGGTGCTCTTTACACTCAGTGGTCATTGCTTGTATCACCAAGTTTATAAATTACAGGATATAACTTCTATTTACGAATCTGCAACACACTCATTTTGTCCTGAGGGTGACCACTCATTTCTTAGATTCTGGATTTTGTTGTGCTGAATCTGAAATCTAAATTCTAAAGATTTTGGCTAATGTGAAAAACCTGCCTTAATCCCGTAGAAGCAATTGAAGGATTTAGTTGTTTTCCGTTGTGCGACATACCAGCCTTGTATAGTCCGGTTGAATCAAACCCTGGTGCGTTTAGCCGCTTGGTGCCGTTCATTTGGGTCGGTGTGAACGCAGTCCGAGACCTCTGAAGTGAACTAAACAACCGGACTCTGGTCCGCTAAAATAGGTGGTCTCGGACCGCTTGCTAGTGAACTCTGGAGCGGTTAATCGCTGGTGTGAACGCAGTCCGCACCAAAACATAGGAAGCGTAGTATTTACGTGTCACAAGAACGCGGGTGTCTTCAAAATCGTTAGCGAAAGAGTGAAGCAGAATGAAGTGTTGAACAGTAANGAGTCTTTCAAGACATCCGCGGTTGTTTAGTTAAAGAGTGAAGCAGAATGAAGTGTTGAACAGTGTCGTGTAAAGTAAAAAATTCCCCCGTCAGCTACATAAAAGTAAGAACCACCTGTCGTCGGTGAAACGCCCCCTCCTTACTGCAGAACGTCTCTCTTTATATGTGTTATAATGTTTTTTAACGGACGTTGTCTGATGATATAATCATATGCGTGGGCCGCTAGTGTCTGTTGATCTCCAGATTAACAGCAGCATGAGAATAACCTGCCGAAAGTGCCGATGCTCCATAGCGGAGGCTCCGGTAGAAATTGCCGGGATTTGCGTTTTTACCCCCCTTAATGTCTGACCAATGGTTGAACAGCATTTCCGAGCACATGACTTGTGTTTAAAGTTTATAGTCCGTTTGAATTTTGCCCGTGTGAACGCAAACCGAAACTTCTGAAAAATGAAACAATGTAACAAACTGTCGTCTGGTGCGCACCAGAGAAGCGGACTATTAGGTGTGAATTAGATTCCTTAATGTTCAGTTTCTTTTTTTACTTTCATTTTTCTCTTGACTGAGGTGAAAATGTTGCATTAATCTTGAAGAAAAACTTCTTTTGTTCCTTTTGTAGTGATTTGAATGTGTTTGATTAAGTCCCAGGAGCCTCTCAGTTTTGTCCTGAGACCATATATTTCCTAGATTCTCTAACATTTTTAAGATCCAGCCTTTAGCCTCGAGGTAAACCCCAGATTAATCTCTTTTTATTCCATGTATAGTGATTTATGTGCTCTTAACTTTTACTAAGTCCCATGAGGCCTCAGAGTTTTCTGCCTCCAGTTCTCCAAAGTCTGCTTTCACACAAATAACATGCGGGTATACACACAATCTCACCTAAATCACCCATCAGCTACCTTTCTACTGTGAGGAGAAAACACAACATAAAAGAGCCTCACGCCGGCCTAATAGATTGCCTCCCTTTACAGCTTGCCCTTGGCTTCAGGCAAAACTAATACTGGCGACAAGTTCACCCTCGCAGCCACGTTTTCAATCTCAGCATTCACTGGAAGAAAAAAACAACTTTGGCAATCGATTTTAAATCCTCGCTCATACATTGCAGCGTCCAAACTCAGACTGAAAGGGGAGCCTCTTGGTTTTTGGAATAGTGATGGATTCATCTGAGTGGAACAGACAGGTAAAGATCCCCAAAGCTAAAGTGTGTCCAAGGACATCGATTAGAAGTAAACAAACTCGTCTGACCCAGTTTTCACAAAGCACCATTTTGCCTGGAAACTCCATGGCCTAAGCATGGTTTCAATTAGACTTTTGTGTGTGTGTGTGTGTGTGTGTGTGTGTGTGTGTGTGTGTGTGTGTGTGTGTGTGTGTGTGTGTGTGTGTGTGTGTGTGTGTGTGTGTGTGTGTGTGTGTGTGTGTGTGTGTGTGTGTGTGTGTGTGTGCGCGCGCGTGCGTGCGTGCGTGCGTGTGCGCGCGCGTGCGTGCGTGCGTGCGTGGCAAACTTAATTTATTTGGCTGTGAGTGAGAAAGGGAAAGCAGTAAAAGGTATGTTAATGTGGCATTTCTATTACAATTAAAGTTTAATGAAAGCAAATGGGATCCTGATAACCAGTCTGAAAATATACTTCTCATCTGTACACCTTGAAAAGCTATTAGATTTCATTATGATTGATAAGAGTTGCTCGTCTCAAAGATATTAAATAAGTTAATTCATGTGGTAATTCTGGTGCCATTTACAGGAAGTTCTGATTAAATAGTTATTTATAGAAGGCCTTCAAAAAACTGTTGCACAAAAAGACTTTAACCAAAAGTTGTTGCCACTGGCATAATTACTCTTAATGTAGATTTCATGGTAACAAATTATATTCTTACATATTAGGCAAAACACTGCAAGGCCTCCTGGAATTAAATCAGAGTTAGGGAATTATTAAAATTCCTTTCTCTCCGACGCACTCCCTTTGTATACTTTCTTGACCACTATGTATCTCTTGCGCTTCTATTGGCTACGCTCCAACACATCATACGTGATAGGCTAAGGGGCGGGACATCTCTAAGCAATTGACCAATCACAACAGAGCCGGCCAGCTAACCAATCAGAGCAGACTGGGCTCTGGTTTCAGACAGAGGGTGAAAAGAGCTGCTGCAGCACAGGCAGTATGAGGAGAAAAATAAAGAGCTTTTGGAACATTAAAGCATGGAGACATGTCCCAGTAGCATGAATATAGGGCCTCTTTAATGNCATGATGACATCACGATGTAACACTTGCGACTTCTATTGGCTAGCACTCCAACACATTGTACGGTTATATACTAAGGGGTCGGGACATCTCTAAGCAGTTGACCAATCACAACAGAGCCGGCCAGCTAACCAATCAGAGCAGACTGGGCTCTGGTTTCAGACAGAGGGTGAAAAGAGCTGCTGCAGCACAGGCAGCATAAGGAGAAAAATAAAGAGCTTTTGGAACATTAAAGCATGGAGACATGTCCCAGTAGCATGAATATAGGGCCTCTTTAATGGTCAAAAAGGAGTGTGTTGAACAACTGCAAATAGAAGTATTATCCTGTAATATTATACAGGCTGATTCTGGTTATTTTTCCAAAAGCTGCTCCTTTAAACATCTCATCATTTATTCAGGTCTTCCACGCTTATATTTTCCATTTTGTTTTTTGCCTTGAGGTTGGAAGTCATTATTCTGCAGCTCTCGAGCAGTTGTTGTTCTTTCCTTCATGCAGAGATTTTTCCATTAGGAGTTTTTTCCATGCTCACCTTGTTGTTATTGGTGTGGCACATTTCCCACCAGCTGATTAGTGAACACCATTAAACAGCTGCAGATGTTACAGCTGTGCACAACAGTGTTTGTTCTGCAGAGGAAAGATGACGCTTTGCTTATTGAGCGCTGTGTTCGTAGAAGGCAACCTGCGGTCTGGAGAAGGGTATTCGAAACTCATCATCTTTTAGACTTTTTTTAAACTCAGACCACAGATTGTTCTTCTCATATTCCTTCCATCTATCGTTTTCCACTCTGGATCAACATCTGTGCCACATCTTGCTGAATTAGACGACAATAATCGAATCTCGGCAGCACCACGCGTCATTATCTCCTCCTGTGGCGCCTCCTCTGCTGGTGAACTCTCAGTCAGAGACATCCTCAACGGTGGAGCGGCACCACGCTCCATTACAATCCAATTCATTCCCCAGCCTCCTCATGCAACCTTTGAAATGGCCTTTAAATAGGGCACCGGATATCTGTGTTTTATATGGAAAATAAGACCCACGTGTCCACACACATCAGCTGTGTGAAGCCTGCAAATGATTAGTGTTTAGGGGAAGTAGGCTTAGAGAATTATCTGCAGGCAACAGCAAACACTCATATGAGTTAGACTTTGTTGTCAACTCGACCCCTTCACCCATCAAAGACAATCTGTAGCTAAACGTTTCTTATTCCCTTTCTGTTTTATAACAGCGGGGGAATTGCAGTGTTACAAAGCAAAAAGCAAAGGGCAAATTAGTAGACGAGCATATTAAAAAAAAAAGATTCCATGCATACGTAAATAAAATAAGAACAAAACCATCCAAGTTGCAGCAATATGAAAACACATAAATAATAGTAAGTGAAGTAGCGGCCGGTGAAAACGTGTAAAATAACCTACTTTATTATAAGATAATAGTCTTTTGTACCTAAATAAATATATTTTGTGATTGGTATCCTCATTTTTATGACACATAAGTGTACACATGTTGGATCATTGACTTCCTATTCCAAGTTTGCCTATAAGTCACAAGTGTATTACAAAGATAGGACATAGGTATTGATTAAATATTTGCTTTACTTATAAAACGCCTCTCTTTCAACTTCTAGTCCAATTTTAGAGATACATGTAATAAGGCAGACATGGTCCTCTTTGAAGAAGACAAAATCCTCACTATTTTCAATAATGCGTTATATCCAGGAAACTCATTTTGCAGAAAGATATCTTCAAACAGCCGTCCATTACCAAAACTTTACATTGTAACATAATGAAAATACATATTTGTGCTTCTTTGGCCACTTATTCCTCTACTTGTAGCATTGTTATTTCTCAAAAGTAGTGTTGTAATCAGAAGTGGTGCACCTCCTCCAATGTTCCTGCCCTCATACAGCATATCATTACTCATGGTCTCTCTTTGTTCAGCCTTCCCTGACCTTCCTGCTCTCCTTCTGCTCTGAGCTTTCCATCTCTAAAGACGTGGCCTCCACTGACCAGGGAACAGTTACATAACACACCTGCGGTCGTTAAGCCTGTCCCTCCGGCTGCACATAATGATCTGTGCTAATCACCCACAGTCATATATGGCAACACACACACACCCGCACATGAACACCCTCATACTTGAACACACACCCGGCTGCTGTGTGTTTCATGTTATCACGCAAGGGGAGTTCATTTGTTTCTTGTTTCAGCTTAAAGCAATAACAATTCCTCACCTAGGGCTAGAAGAGAACTCCCAGCTTCACAGTTTCATTTACGTTAAAGCAAAGTAGAGGCACAAAATATGACATTACATTTGGCTGACGCTTTAAGCCTAAGCAACATACATTAAGTGCAAAAACAGTAAAGATTCAAACTCTGAATTACAAAGAAAGTGCAGATATATTCACTTCAAACAAGTCATACGAGTGCTGGTGAATTAGTTACAAGCCTAAATTAACTGTTTGTTGATAATTGAGCATGTGCAAACTGCAAAGACATGATGTTGTAACAAACAATGTTCTCAATTGGAATAATTAAAGTTCATTTTATCTGATCAAATTAAGATTGTCGATAGTCACTCTCTTCACAACACTTAATCTGGCCTTCAACCCATAAATATGTCATTTCCTAATCGACATACAGTATTGTAAATGTCTTTCTCTTGTCCACACAGAGACATTTACGTTCAGCACTCACAGACTCTCTCAGTAACATCAAGCTATAAAACTCCACTAATGACCTGTGAGGTGTTTCCATGTGTTGTATTTATTCACAGCCCTTTTCTCCCCTTTTACAAGCTGGATGTTCATGTTTTACAGACACCCATAAACATGCACTATCCAGTCAGCGGGTCCATCAGCGCTGTTTATAGTCCCTTCTCTATGTCAATATCCCACCGTTACATGAGTAGTGATGATTACAATACACTGTTATTTGTCTTCTTGTAATTTATACAAGTCTTCTTGTGTTTTAGCTTGGTTTTTTCTCTTTTTGAAATTACTGTTTTTTTATGTTTTAAATGCATTCTCAATGCTTAATGCACTTTTTTGATTGATACATTTTATTTTGAACAAGTAAAATAAATAATTACAAAACAAATGTTGCAGTGGAAGTCATATAAGAGAAAAGGAGTGAGAAGAAGTATATCTTATTTAATCTCACCCCCTTGTCCCTAAATGATTTATTTATAATCTATAATCTGCAATAATTATCATTATTATTAATTATTGTTATTATTATTATTATTAATCTGCTTTACCTGTTGATTGACATATATACATATACACATACATACATACACACATACACATATACATACTGTACATGCACATATACATATACACACCTACATACTCACACGTATACACATACATATAGTCAAACACCTTCCCCATCCCTGTACCATGAGAAAATAATGTATCTGTATTTCCTCTTGAACTGGTTAATGTCTGGACATCGCTTTAGCTCCACACACTGTTCCATAGTCTCACTCCACAGGTTGAGATACAAAAAGTTCTTCTACTTTGAATTTTCTTGTGTTGTAAAGTGCTATATAAATAAAATGACCTTGCGTTGCCCTATCACAAACAAGGCAATCAAAGAAATCAGTTCTATAGATCTAGAGCATGCAGGTCTTTTAGGATTGCTCCTCAACACATTTTATGGAGACTCGATGATGCACATTTCTTTTCACTTTAAATAAGACTGAACAAAACTCTTCGTATTTCTAAACTTCTGTGTGTGAGGGTAGGTTGTGTGTTTGTGTGCACCTGTATGCACAAACACATCCACACACTTGTGCGTTGTGCGTTCCATCTCCGTCTGCCGTCACCGCCCGCTGATGGGTGTTGTGAGATGTGGGACGGCCCTGTGGTATTTGACACTCCGGTGTCTTGGGGTAATTCTCAGGCCGGTGCTGTGGACGTTAGAGGATTTGGTAATGATGAGGAAGTGGAGGAAGCAGAAATACCACAGTGCCAATGACGTCATGGCTCCAGAGATGAAGTCGTCCACTCAGTGTCCGTTCTGGGACTTGAACCGGTGACCTTCCTCTTCCCCAGCTGAGTCTCTACAGACTGAGGGCTGCTGATGCTAATCATTTATTCATCCTGACTACAGAATCACTTGATTTAACGAAATGTATCATTATGTTTTACAATTTTAAAATATATAAATATACCTTGGTTGGTGATTGGCTAATGGTTACACAAGCCAAAAAAATCGTTATGACATCATAAAGTGGCCAAAATCTGATCAGCTCATTTTCAGACAGGTTTTTATAGAAATGGATCAGGACAAAAAGTGAGAGAATCTTTTTTCCTGAAACTTTCAGAGTCTCTTTACACAGAGGGGACACATGTTGATGTAGAAGAGACATGAAGAAGAGGGGACACATGTTGATGTAGAAGAGACATGAAGAAGAGGGGACACATGTTGATGTAGAAGAGACAAGGGGATTTTGCATAATAGGTGAC